ACTGCCCTACACTCCACCGAAACTGCCTTACTCAAACTCTCCAACGACCTGCTAACCAGCAAAGCTAATGGCCACTATTCAGTGCTCCTACTCCTTGACCTCTCTGCGGCCTTCGACACAGTCCTCCACCCCCTCCTCCTCAAAAAACTACACTCCCTCGGCCTCAGAGATTCTGCTCTCTCCTGGCTCTCATCCTACCTGTCACAACGCTCCTTCAGCGTTTCCTACAACGGTGCCACCTCCCCCTCACTCCCCCTCTCTGTTGGGGTCCCTCAAGGCTCCGTCCTCGGGCCCCTTCTCTTCTCCATCTACACCTCCTCCCTTGGCCAACTCATACACTCTCACGGCTTCAACTACCACCTCTATGCCGACGACACACAAATCTATCTCTCAACCCCCCACCTCACCCCCTTGGTCTCTGCCCGAATCACACACCTAGTGAGCGACATATCAGACTGGATGTCGCTCCACTTCCTTAAATTGAACCTCTCCAAAACCGAGTTTCTTGTCTTCCCCCCCCAGCCCGGACCCCACCCCCCCATCCTCTCCATCACGACCAACAACGCCACCATCAAACCCGCCCTGCAGGCCAGAGTACTGGGTGTCATTCTGGACTCCAACCTATCCTTCCAGCCCCAAGTCCAATCTTTAACAAACTCATGCAGACTCCTCCTCCGCAACATGCAGACTCCACCTCCGCAACATGCAGACTCCACCTCCGCAACATGCAGACTCCTCCTCCGCAACATGCAGACTCCACCTCCGCAACATGCAGACTCCACCTCCGCAACATCGCCAAAATCCTCACGTTCCTAACCCCAGAAACCACTAAACAGCTCATCCCCTCCCTCATCATATCACGACTCGACTACTGCAACTCCCTCCTCACTGGCCTGCCTCGCCACAGGCTATCCCCGCTTCAGTCCAACCTGAACACGGCTGCCAGACTCATTCACCTTTCCAACCACTCCATCTCCGCCACCCCCCTCTGTCATTCCCTCCACTGGCCTCCACCCCCCTCTGCCAATCCCTCCACTGGCCTACACTCAGTGTCCTCCACCCCCCTCTGCCAATCCCTCCACTGGCCTCCACTCAGTGTCCTCCACCCCCCTCTGCCAATCCCTCCACTGGCCTCCATTCAGTGTCCTCCACCCCCCTCTGCCAATCCCTCCACTGGCCTCCACCCCCCCCCCTGTCATTCCCTCCACTGGCCTCCATTCAGTGTCCTCCACCCCCCTCTGCCAATCCCTCCACTGGCCTCCACTCAGTGTCCTCCACCCCCCTCTGCCAATCCCTCCACTGGCCTCCACTCAGTGTCCTCCACCCCCCTCTGCCAATCCCTCCACTGGCCTCCACTCAGTGTCCTCCACCCCCCTCTGCCAATCCCTCCACTGGCTTCCGATTGCACAACGGAATAAATTCAAAATCCTAACACTGACGTACAAAGCCGTCCACCATACTGCCCCGAACTACATCACTGACCTAATATCCAAGTACCGCCCCAACACGCACACTCCGCTCCTCACAAGACCTCCTTCTCTCTAGTTCCCTGGTCTCCTCCACCCATGCCTGACTCCAGGACTTCTCCAGGGTGTCACCCATCCTCTGGAACTCCCTGCCCCAACCCATCAGATTATCACCTACTCTCCTCTCCTTTAGGCGCACCCTGAAAACCCACCTCTTCAGGGAAGCCTACCCCACCCCCTGCTAACCTGCCGACCTCCTCCACTCTTCCTACCACTCCATCCCCCACAGCTATCTCCTCCTGTGTCACCATCCCCTCCCTCCTAGATTGTAAGCTCCAAGGAGCAGGGCCCTCGATCCCCTCATGTATTGCATTGTATTGGTATTGTTCTGTCACATGTTCTGTCCCCCTCTGTAATGTACAGCGCTGAGCGAACTATTGGCGCTTTATAAATACTGTATAATAATAATAGACTGGCTTGTGCAATCAGATTGTACAGATTTACAGCTTTGCTGAAAAGTCTCACTCCTTCGGCAGAAATGGTGAAATTTTGGAATCGATATTGAAAATCTGACCGATCTGCCAAAAACCTTTTATGGAAGGATGGTGATGATAGGAAGCCATTTATTGTCATATCGTTGTTTGGCTCCTTTATAAATCCTAATGATGACAGAAATCCCCCAAATCGTCCAGATCAGAAGTCTCCGCCCCCGGTTCAGAACTCTTCTTCCTCCGGGATCAGAGGTCTCCGCCCCCCCCGGGATCAGAGGTCTCCGCCCCCCGGGATCAGAGGTCTCCGCCCCACCGGGATCAGAGGTCTCCGCCCCACCGGGATCAGAGGTCTCCGCCCCACCGGGATCAGAGGTCTCCGCCCCCCCACCGGGATCAGAGGTCTCCGCCCCACCGGGATCAGAGGTCTCCGCCCCACCGGGATCAGAGGTCTCCGCCCCACCGGGATCAGAGGTCTCCGCCCCACCGGGATCAGAGGTCTCCGCCCCACCGGGATCAGAGGTCTCCGCCCCCACCGGGATCAGAGGTCTCCGCCCCACCCGGGATCAGAGGTCTCCGCCCCACCGGGATCAGAGGTCTCCGCCCCCCGGGATCAGAAGTCTCCGCCCCCCGGATCAGAAGTCTCCGCCCCCCGGATCAGAAGTCTCCGCCCCCCGGATCAGAGGTCTCCGCCCACCGGATCAGAGGTCTCCGCCCACCGGATCAGAGGTCTCCGCCCCTCAGAATATCCTGAACGTCCCGACATCAAATATGCCATATCTTACTATTTCAGAACTATATGGCTTTCTGCTCTCCTGTAGACCTCCACTAGGGGGTGTAAGATATCAGGCGAGTCGCATTAAACTGAGCCATCCGAATATAGGCTTTGTTCGATTGTATGTATTCCCCATTTTAAGTTATGAAAAGTGGTTTTTAGATGGGATATATTTTTTTACGGCTATTCTGGAATGTGTTTCATGTCCAGTGGAGGACTGGTTTATAGCTTTACGATCATCTCAGATCGAGAAGCTAACAGACACCCAAGCACCAGCTAATTTGGGATTACAACCATGAAGTGTATCCAACTGTGCCTGATGTCCTTGTAAACCCAGCGCACACACACACACACACATTCCTGAAGGAGGGGGATTGGAGGGAGAGAGAATGATACAAGATGGATGGGAATCTTGAGCAAGATGGATGACCGCGTCCATATCTGTGTGCACAATTGCTACAGGAGGGATTATGCCTCATCATTGGTGTCAGTGGGAAGAATAGTGCTCCATCATTGGTCAGTGGGAGGGATTATGCTTCATCATTGGTGTCAGTGGGAGGAATAGTGCCCCATCATTGGTGTCAGTGGGAGGAATAGTGCCCCATCATTGGTGTCAGTGGAAGGAATAGTGTCCCATCATTGGTGTCAGTGGGGGGAATAGTTCCCCATCATTGGTGTCAGTGAGAGGAATAGTTCCCCATCATTGGTGTCAGTGGGAGGAATAGTGCCCCATCATTGGTGTCAGTGGAAGGAATAGTGTCCCATCATTGGTGTCAGTGGGGGGAATAGTTCCCCATCATTGGTGTCAGTGAGAGGAATAGTTCCCCATCATTGGTGTCAGTGGGAGGAATAGTTCCCCATCAATGGTGTCAGTGAGAGGAATAGTTCCCCATCATTGGTGTCAGTGGGAGGAATAGTGCCCCATCATTGGTGTCAGTGGGAGGAATAGTGCCCCATCATTGGTGTCAGTGGGAGGAATAGTGCCCCATAATTGGTGTCAGTGGGGGGAATAGTGCCCCATCATTGGTGTCAGTGGGGGGGAATAGTGCCCCATCATTGGTGTCAGTGGGGGGAATAGTGCCCCATCATTGGTGTCAGTGGGGGGGGGGGGGAGGAATAGTGCCCCATCATTGGTGTCAGTGGGAGGAATAGTGAATAGAAAAGAAGTAAGGGTGACCCCTTCAAAGTTCAGGCTGACTGAAGAGGGAACAAAGACACCAGCAGAAATGATGGGGCATGTTGGGTAGAGGAGGGGAGATGGGGGCTGGTTTACGATTTTTCATGCCTCCCATCCTCCTGTAGAAGGCGCTATAACCAAACTGTCTCCAAATCCTCTCTTCCCCCCCAATAGAATAAAATAGGTGCGCCCGGAATAACAACTCTGATTATTTACCTTCTGAATATTTTTTAAGTTACCCAATAACTGTATTTGGTTTGGGCTTCAATTATCTCTGGTCATGAAATCCATGGGGGAGGTGGTGGTGGTGGTGAGGATGGAGTGGCAGGTGGTGGTGAGAGGGGAGATGAGAGTGGGAGGTGATAGTGTGAGGGGGGGGAGGTGGAGGTGAGGGGGGAGGTGGAGGTGAGGTAGGGGGGGGGGGAGGTGTTGAAGATGGAAGCAGGAGGTGGGTAGGTGGTCCGCTGTGCACTTACCTGCAGAAGCTGTGGAGACACTCACGTAGAAGGACGCCGGCCCCTGGAGGGACCTCGGTGTAGCAGATGCGACATTCAATGGCCTCCTGGTTGGGGATGAGGACCTCGTTGTCCAGCTGGAGGTGGTACAGGAAGTTCTGGTGCCTCTCCTCCTCCAGAGCCTAGAGGAGACAACGAGGACACGGATGGTGAATATTTGGTGGACCTGGAGGCTGGGTATGATGCCGGGTGGACAATGGCTCCGTGTTGCCGGGAGAGGGCGCTGATGTCCTGCGGGGCGCTCCTTTAGAGGTACACTCCACTCTAACCCGCCATCTACTAACACGCGGGGTGACATGGCGGCTCCTCAACTCTCAGGGAGTCACAAGATGGGAACTCTGCACCAGAATTCAGTCCCATCAGTTGTGGCCAAACAAATGGGCCCCCCGCCCCTACTGGACCCGGCAAGGCTAGGGGCATGGAGGCAAACTATGGGGGGGGGAAATCTCCCCACTGTGGGAGGAACATGGAGACCAACTACTGCAAGGAAATCTCCCTATTGTGGGAGGGGCATGGAGACCAACTACGGGGGGAAATCTCCCCATTGTTGGAAGGGCATGGAGACCAACTACCGGGAGGAAATCACCCCATTGTGGGAGGGGCAGAGATACAAGCTACTGCAGGGAAATCTCCCCATTGTGGGAGGAGCAGAGACACAAACTACTGGGGGGAAATATCCCCATTGTGGGAGGGGCAGAGACACAAACTACAGAGGGGAATCTCCCCATTGTGGGAGGGGCAGAGACACAAACTACTGGGGGGAAATCTCCCTACTGTGGGAGGGGCATGGAGACCAACTATGGAGGGGGATCTCACCATTGTGGGCGGGGCAGACAATCTACTAGGGGGAAATTTCCCCATTGTGGGAGGGGCAGAGACACAAACTACTGGGGGAAAATCTCATTGTGGGAGGGGCAGAGACACAAACTACTGGGGAAATCTCATTGTGGGAGGGGCAGAGACACAAACTACTGGGGTAAATCTCATTGTGGGAGGGGCAGAGACACAACTGGGGGAAATCATGGAGACATGGAAACTGTGGGAGGGGCATGGAGACCAACTATGGAGGGGGGGGGAACTCACCATTGTGGGCGGGGCAGACAATCTACTGGGGGAAATCTCATTGTGGGAGGGGCAGAGACACAAACTACTGGGGGAAATCTCATTGTGGGAGGGGCAGAGACACAAACTATTGCGGGGAGATTTTGCAATGATGGGAGTCCCTCCATAAAGGGGTGCTTCACCCTGAAACATGCGTGTGTTGGGCTCAGTTTTCCTCGGCGTTACAATGCACGTTCATGCGCAATCAGATGCGTTTTGATGCGCTTCCATCGATTTCAACACAAAACTCATCAGAAGGAAAACCGCGGACGATTTTTTTATCAGAGATCCCGGGATGGGTTCAAGGATTCTGCAGCTTGGCCGACCCGTTAGCTCCATACATACATCCAGGGGCGCAGCTTTGCAGATACAACCCCCCCGCGCCGCACTCCCCCAGTTTGCGGTCTGCTGCTCCAATGATTACACGAGTGCGCGCTGCGCAGGGGGCCATCCCTTTAGGTGTTCAGAGCAGACGCCTGCCTCGTTCTCAGTCCCCGTCTGCGGTCACAATGCAGACTGCACACAGGGTGGATGTAGACAGAGCAATGTTCACAGAGCCCCAGACAGAGAGATGGCCGAGGAAAGACGTCATCCTGCAAAGCTGCTTAATATTTCGGGACGTAAAAACAGGTTCCTTCAAACCAAAACGTGTTTTTAGAAAGCGTTAATATTGCGCATATTTCCCGTAACTTTGACATTTCTTGTGGCAGATTTACAGAATTAGACTGGAATACTCCTAGTGGGTGTTGGATCGTCAGGCCGCGTGCAGTCAGCACCTTTGCTGAACCTCGGCTGTAAGAAAACCAATGGAACTGGGAGACAACGGTGGGGGAGGGGGGGCTTAAGTGCGGCCCCTGACATCACCAAAGGGCCACACATACCATGCAATGCAAGGATACAGACTGCGGTCAGAGACTGCAGATATAAAACAGGAAATGGTGACAGATTATGGGCTACGAAAGATGGTCAGAAATGATGGAGACCGAGGACATTCCACAGGAGACGGTCAGAGACTGCAGACACAGTACAGGGGATGACCGGAGACTGCAGACACAGTACAGGAGATGACCAGAGACTGCAGACACAGTACAGGGGATGACCGGAGACTGCGGACATAGTACAGGAGATGACCAGAGACTGCAGACACAGTACAGGGGATGACCGGAGACTGCAGACACAGTACAGGAGATGACCAGAGACTGCAGACACAGTACAGGGGATGACCGGAGACTGCGGACATAGTACAGGAGATGACCAGAGACTGCGGACACAGTACAGGAGATGACCAGAGACTGCAGACACAGTACAGGAGATGACCAGAGACTGCGGACACAGTACAGGAGATGACCAGAGACTGCAGACACAGTACAGGAGATGACCAGAGACTGCGGACACAGTACAGGAGAGATGACCAGAGACTGCGGACATAGTACAGGAGATGACCAGAGACTGCGGACATAGTACAGGAGATGACCAGAGACTGCAGACACAGTACAGGAGATGACCAGAGACTGCAGACACAGTACAGGAGATGACCAGAGACTGCAGACATAGTACAGGAGATGACCAGAGACTGCAGACATAGTACAGGAGATGACCAGAGACTGCAGACACAGTACAGGAGATGACCAGAGACTGCAGACACAGTACAGGAGATGACCAGAGACTGCAGACACAGTACAGGAGATGATCTAATAAAGATTACTGAAAATGAGAAAAAAAACAAAAACACAAAAAGTGGACAGACATGAGAGAAATAAAAGCTGCCCAAAGAATA